TGGATGGACTTCTGCAAACCCTTTCTCTCATCCATAAGTCTTTTCATTTAATACATGTGACCTATTTAGGCTGTTTTTTCCCTTACTTGCATTGTTGCACAGTAGGTAATCCAGGGAATGGTCTTTACCCATCGAGGTGTGGGTATGGTAGATCTCAGGGACAGCAGCAAAGTCATGGATTTGCTAGGAGCATTTTTCCATAGGAGAACTCTCTACTCCTGCCTCAAGGGGAGAGGTGTGGATGTGGCGTCTTGATTTCACTTCCCTTATTTGGGTTTTGTGTTAGAGAATTCCCTGGACTTTGGCATAGTTTTTTCGACTGAAACGAGGAAATGAGATGAGGATTAAGCCTATAAATTTTAGAATAGGAAAATGCAATGGAGTTTCTTTAATGGAACAGGGTCAGTATACAGTGCCAAGAAATTGCTATGGTTTTTCCTCATGATTTAACTAACAGTTGGACTGATGGTACTGTAAATGAACAAATTTGTGTATTTAAATTTAAATTGCTGTTTAAAAAGTATGTTGCTTGTTGAAGGTATTAAATTAAGGCAGGTTGTAATATAGTACTTGTCAGAGGTGTCTTCTGTATTTCCAGCTGGATGTTTCTGAGCAGGAATACATCACATCCAATCTAAAAAACCACCACAAAAAGACATAGAAATATAGTCCTTTTTAATAAAGAAATGGTGCACTTCTACCTGGCCGCAGGTAGGGAGTGTGGAAAGAGCAGGTTATGATGCTTTTGATTTTGACATTTAAGTGCCAAATGCTGATTATTTTGTGGCTCGGTTTTCAATCGTTTATAGTTTTGCCAAACTTGCGCTGTTTGAGTTGAAATTTCCTATATTACCTATTTGCTATACTGAATTTTCTGAGAAACCTTTGAGCAATTTCAGGCCAGTGGTACTTGCAGGGTACCAACATCTATTTCCTACCTTCAGAAGAGCTTGTGATGAAAGAGAAACAGTTCAGATATACTGGAAAGGGCAAATGCTGCTCTAATTGCAGTGAGCAGGGAAAGCCTGCTGTGCTCACCCGGGACCCGAGATGGGCTCTTGGTGCCTATTGATGGATACAGAATTAGGCTACAACGCCTAGAAACTTCTAGGAGTCTGTGTGACATTTCTCTGAGTAACAAATGAGTATATTGCTGGCGGTGAAATGCAAATGAATGAAGCATTTTAGTCAAAAACCTAGAGACAGTATTTACCTGAGGAAATTCACTGTAAGGGTAGGAGTTTTAGTTATGATCTTTTTGGTGCTGATTCAGACACGTTCTGAAGCATGCGCTCCTACCCTAAGTATGGGGAGGGGGTGGCTTGCTTCTTTCCAGATTAATCATAATTTTTGTGAGAATGATAAAACCAAATCTCCCCAGAAATCCTTGTAGAATCCACGAGGAAGCAGATAAAACCATCAACATGTTTCTCCCTTGCTGAATCCATTGGCAAAAATTTTGGTGACTTGAACAATGAGAGCTCCCCTAGTATCTTCATCAATACAAGCGGTCACCCTCGATCAGCTCATTAAACAAAGGGCTGCTGTAGGCTTTGTGCTGCAGCCAGGCAGTGAGGGAAATCCGTCTCTTGAATGGGGGTCTGTTCAGGCCAGTCACTTGTTCCTGGCTGCGAATCCGGTCTAACACCACAGTTTGCTTTCAGTGCCTGGAGTTTGCTTTCAATGGGAAATGCTACCACAGAAAACGAAACACATTTCGCTTCTCGGGAGAAGCAGTTGAACTCTGGAATGTAATCTGAGGTGAAATTAAGACCAAAAAATTTTGCATCACTTGAATTTTCGGTTTCAGTTTTGATGTCTTACTTTCTGTATTCTATTTTTAGTGGGTTGGACTGAGAAAGTTGCTGAGTGCTTGTTCTGGTTGGTGATGGTGTATTAATGTCCTGTTGACAAATTCATATTTTAAGTAGTTCTTGAAAACTGATACTTGGATTCCCATAGGCATCTGCCCCTAAATATATTTTTAAGGGTGAGGTCACTGTAACTCCAGGAGGGGACATTGGAAAACTGAAAGGATCCAAGCTATTTTCCATTGGAAATCAAAACAGTTTTAAGAGAAATAACTGAAAGTCATGCTGCTAAACTTGGTCTTGATGTAAGTCCAGTCCAAAAGGAGACAGTGGTGCTTGAACTGAATGGCCCGTAATATGCATCCATCTTGGGGTGAGTTCGCTTTGAGATACAGCCTCTCATTAAACTCTGGGGTACCAAAACTGCTTGCTGCACGAATCATGAACTGGTGGCCTAAGGAAAACGAGGTGGGCCAGGTAAACTGGGATTGAAGGTGATCAGAAATTCCTAATATACGTCAGATGGATATGAAACAGTCCCTGTACTGTAAGAATACAACCCCCTCCAAATGCATAATCCATTTCTTGTGAAAGACGTGGCCCAATATAGAAGTTTTAGGTCAACTGATTCAGTTAAAGATTAGCCTCAATATTCTGAAAGAGAAGACTGTAGTTACTTATGGACTTTAATTCCTTATAATGGATTATACTGGGCACCACGCTACTGCTACAGTGTCAAATCTTTTTGTGGGTTTGCTAAATTAACCTTTGTAATAGAAAGGCTTCTTGTGCGCTTCCAGTCACAAGAAGAGATGGTTTTGAGTTTGTAGCAACTTAAAATGCCAATGGTTGGGATCCTGATATAAAATTCATCGTTTTTCCTATCTCTTCTTAAATCATGTTCCTCTGCTGTTTTGCAAATGAGTTGCAGAGATGCATCCCGCTCTGATTTAACGTTGTGTGCAGGATATTTAAAATGGAAATCTCCATTAGAGGGGCAGAAACAAGTGCAGGTAATGAGGGAGAAGATACTGCAATTAAAGGAAAACTGATTATCATTTGTGAAATTATGTTTGGAAAAGTGACTTTAATGGATGTAATGTTAAATCTCACAGTCATATGTAGTGAGAGGAAAGGCTTCAGTTTTAGGTAATGATATGTATGTTGATACATGTTTTCAGACGTGTTTTAGGTTGTACCTCCTTCAGTATTCATGGCAGTGCACGTTCTTTATGCTCCCTGTAAGTTTATGCAATATTTACTGTCCTGATCTTGAAACTCATGATGAGCTGACTATTACGAAACTCTGACAATAACCCTTTACGCTGGAAATCTTGGTCAGAACAAGCCCATACAATAGAAATTGTTGTGATGGAATTGCCATGTGATGTTCTGTCATGTTGAACTGCTTTGCGGGGCAGACGGAATAAAGACAGACACCAATGAGTACTTTACCCCGTGCACTACATGTGGGACCTGGTGAAAGAAATCCTATCCCAGTCAAAGTTAATGACAGGCCAGCTTGGCCAGCTTTTGACCAGTGTGAGAAAGAGTTCCCAGCTACGTGTAACTTGTGTGTGTGGTGTGTATGTGTGTAATGCAAATAATCGGTGGTAAAGTCTAATGTTTGAGTCCCTTACAAATTTAATAGGCTTGGGAGGTAAATGGTTCTCCTTACACTTAAGGGATAGTATGAAGGAGTTTGTCTCTATAGATCCCATTTCGTAAACATTGTCACATTTGGAAGCTCTGTTCTCTTCCTTGCACTTTTCCTTCAAATGCTGATTTGGATGGTGACATTGGCATGAGGGACAAGCTTGTTGACCTTGTCAGGGTGCCACGGATTTCTCTCTTTGAAATAGCTGTTCCTTTCGATAAATTGTCTTTGCTTTTGTTCTTAGGACTTGTGCCATAAACAGGCAATGTGAATACACTGCTGTTTTCATGCCCATGGTATCTCATAGCTTCCAAACAAGTTGTTTCATTCAGGTTCAGGACAAGATTTTAGAGTGAAAAATTACTGGCCTGTTTAAAAAAAGGCACTCGAGAAAACTATTATTTTGATACATTTGGTCAATTACATTTTCTAGGACATTTGCCATGAAAACGGTAGGGTCAAATATTTCTGGAGAGAGTTTTTGTGGCTACTGCTTTTCTCCTGGGCTGGGGAGGAAAGAAGAAAATTTAAAGAGAATGTTAAGTGGCGATGAAAGGAAAACAAGAAATTACGGAGTTAGGAAGAAAGAGAAATCAGAAGAAGATAATCCACCATTCATTTTCTAGGAGCTTGCAGACAGTGTGGTTTTTTTACAGCATTTCATCATTCCAGCTACAACCTATGCTAATGATAATCACAGGGTTGGGATAGTTTACATGTGGAATATAAATGCTGCCTGCATGTGCTCCAATATGGCAAAATGGATTGCCAAATCCCAACACTGCATGTAAATGGATCTTCCCCCTTCTGTTTTGGTTTTGATTTAATTACAGAAACATTTTCAGCATATGAGATTGTTTTTTGACACCTTACTTAACTTTTTTTTATTGTTAAAAGTTTTAACTAAAAGCACTAGTAATTAAAATAAAGTAAGCA